GAGTATAGAACTTCCATTATTTGAATTGATATTTATATAGGGGTTCTGTACATAGTACAGTAAATAAGTCAACAATAAAAATATCGTTACCCTAATAGATGCAATGTATTAATATTATGTCACCCTTTGCATAGTTTCTTTTAATCCTTGAGCACTTTTAAGAAATGAGTGTCCAAAGGCATGGAATTGATACATTTGAGTTTCATGTTTTTCTATATAGCTCGCTTGAATATACAAACCCCTTTGGGGTACCCACTATCTTATAATTTCTTCTCATATTTGCCACATTCCTGCCAACTTGGACATTTTCTTTTTAGATTGCCTTGACAATCATAAAATAACTGTTGTTATGCCTTTTGTGTGTGTGTGTGTGTGTGAATCTCTCAGTTGGGAGAACCATATCACTTCTTTGTGACATAATAGAAAATAAATGCTGAGGGCCGGGCGTGGTGGCTCACACCTGTAATCCCAGTACTTTGGGTGGCTGAGGTGGGAGGATTGCTTGAGGCCAGGAGTATGAGATCAGACCCTGTCTCTCTCTCTTTTTTTTTTTTTATTTTAAAGCTGAATACAAAAGGGATACAATGAGGTGAATCTAACTAGGGTGACTAAGTGGACTGATAGTGCTGTGTATGGATAGAGAGCCTTCGAGTTCTGAGTTGTTTCAGTATTGCCTTTAAGTATCTTCTAGTAAGCACTTGGGGAAGCATGATATGAAAGGGCAACAGGCTGTGAACTGAGATGAGCTTGGTTCAGACTCCAACCTTCCTTTATTAGCTGAGAGTCCTCAGACCAGTTACGTGCTCTCACTTCGCCTCTGTCTCCTCATCTGTAAGTGTGGTCAGTACTTACTTGGCAGGTTGTCACGAAGATTAGAGATAATACCAGGCATGAGGAACAGTGGTTGGTGCATAGCTCTTACATCCAGGAGCTGACTCGTGGAGCAAGACGCTGAGTACACACATAAACATTAAGAGGCAGAATACGGCGGGTCCTTCCTAAGAAATATAAACAAGGAACCTAGAAGAGAGAGTGATGTTTTCTGATTGGGGGAATGCAGGTTTGTTTCACAGAAGAGTTTGAGCTGGGCCCTGAAAGAAGAATAGGATATTGATAAGCTATGATAGGAAGGGCCGGTCCAAATGGAAGCAAAGTGTGGCCCAAAGCTGGAGAGCCCTGCTCTCTGACTCTGGAACCTGCGTCTTGTGCTGGAGCCTCAGGCCTGGCCCCTGTGACCGTCCCCACAGTGTCCTCAGTGGTCTTTCTGCCTTCAGTGCCACCATGGTTGATGTGCACATGGTAGGATTCCGGTTAGATGGCATCAAACCCACATAGCCATGGTTTTTCTCTAGTTTCTGTGTCTGCATTTCAGTAGAGGTGGTGGTAGATTAATTGGTTAATTTTACTGAGCAGTACCTAACGTGCATAAGATACCTTCCTCCCACTGGGGGCACTTCTGCTTTCTGCTCAACTGTTTCCCTTTAACCAAACTAGAAAATCATGGTTAGGAAATTAGCCTGACTCAGATTGTGCTTCAGATCCTTTGAAATATTTTCCCTCTCTGAGGCTTGTCCATAAGTAGTTTGCCAAGTCAACAACGCTCAAGGTCGTTGTAGTACTCAAAGGGCTACTACCAGGCATGGGGAGGGAGCTCCTTTCCTATTCCCTATCTGCGTGAAATGAGACGGGTATTTGGAGTGTCTTTTCTAGAAAATGGCCAAGATTGCTGTGCTACAACTTGATGCTCTTTTGAGAATGAAAACAAAACAATGTAAAATCAAGGCACAGAGCCGGGCGCGGTGGCTCATGCCTGTAATCCCAGCACTTTGGGAGGCCGAGGCGGGCGGATCACAAGGTAAGGAGATCGAGACCACGGTGAAACCCCGTCTCTACTAAAAATACAAAAAATTAGCCGGGCGTGGTGGCGGGCGCCTGTAGTCCCAGCTACTCAGGAGACTGAAGCAGGAGAATGGCGTGAACCCGGGAGGCGGAGCTTGCAGTGAGCCGAGATTGCGCCACTGCACTCCAGCCGGGGCGACGAACCGACCCCCGGCTTAAAAAAAAAAAAAAAAAAAAAATCAAGGCACAGAAACTTAACACATGATATGAAGACAATCAGCAATGGAATGAGGCCAACAATATGTGTTTGTGTTTGTGTGGAAGGCTGGAACCCTGTCTTAAAATGGTGCATTGTCTTTTTATGAAAACTGAAAGGAAGAGATAGTGTTAACTGGTGCCTTGTCTTTTTTTTTGGAGTTGGAGTTTCACTCTTGTTGCCCAGGCTGGAGTGCAGTGGCACGATCTCGCTCACTGCAACCTTTGCCTCGCAGGTTCAAGCGATTCTCCTGCCTTAGCCTCTCAAGTAGCTGGGATTACAGGCATGTGCCAACATGCCCGGCTAATTTTGTATGTTTAGTAGAGATGGGGTTTCACCATGTTAGCCAGGCTTGTCTTGAACTCCTGACCTCAGGTGATCCACCTGCTTTGGCCTCCCAAAGTGCTGGGATTACAGGTGTGAGCCATGTGCCCGGCTGCGTTGTCTTTTTACGAAAACTGAAAGGAAGAGATAGTGTAACTTCTGAGCTCAACAAAGAGATAATGTGAAATAATGAATTTTCATAACGGGGCACTTGCTATCTTTCATTTGATGCCATCTGGTTCAGATTGGAGTTTTAGGGGACTCCTGTGTGTCTTTGTGGGCTGCCAGGGAGTGGGTTCCAGTGGAGATACTATCTTTTTTCCATTTGGTGATATACTTTATTTAGTGAGATTCATGCTATGAATGGGGTCCTGCTGTTGGTTTGATCAGAAAATATGGCATAGTCATCAATAGCAAATTATAAAGAACTCAGATCCTTTTTCCACTTAGTTCATACACTTACTTTAGATTGTTTCAGCATTCTATGAGTTTATTAATTCTTGTTTCTCTAGGACATTTTGTAAAAGAGATAAAATGAGAACTTAGGGAGGTCAGAACACTTACTTGTCATGGAGATCTCAATGTGCCATTTGCTTTATCTCCCTGGCTTTGTCAGAGTAGAGACAAAGAAGTGACACCTTGATCTGTAAGAGGGCTATCTCTGTAGTGTCCTAGGTTGATGCTTATGAAGCTCAGTCAGTACCCAACGATCTTCTTCACACTTTGTTTGTTTATGCCAGGATCTGTCTAGTGATAATTATAGGCCATCCAAGTAAAGTTTTCTTTTTTTGACAGAGTCTCTCTCTGTCCCCCAGGCTGGAGTGCAGTGGCGCAATCTCGGCTCACTGCAAGTTCCACCTCCCGGGTTCACGCTATTCTCCTGCCTCAGCCTCCTGAGTAGCTGGGACTACAGGCGCCCGCCACCACATCCGGCCAATTTTTTGTATTTTTAGTAGAGATAGGGTTTCACCGTGTTAGCCAGGATGGTCTTGATCTCCTGACCTCGTGATCCACCCATCTCGGCCTCCCAAAGTGCTGGGATTACAGGCGTGAGCCACCACACCCAGCCCCAAGTAAAGATTTCTAATATAATGTCATGTAACTTAAACCTGATTATTATCCTGTTATTTTCAGGGATGTTCTTGTCATGTTTTTTTTTTTAAAAAAGTATTATGCTTTGTCAACTTATTTCTTAAATAATTTTTAAATATAACTTTGGCTAGATCCTCAAATAAAAACTTGTTATCCTTCCTAGCTTTTGTTTTCTGGGGGCTTGCATGGAACAAGAGTCTACTTCGTGCATCTGGTCTGTGCGGTGTCTCAGGAGCACACTGCTCCTTTCCCTTTGGCTTTTCCTGGCTGGGCTGCTCTTTCTGCTCTTATTTTTTGCAGAGTTTTTCTGTCAGTCTATTGTGATGCCTTAAGTATCACGGTGAAGATGGGGCGGGTGTTATCCCTTCTCTGAGAATGGAAAGCTAAGGTAAAAGTCAGCAAAATGGCTTGTGAAGACACAGTTGTTCCTTAATAAGTCCCATGTCGGTATGCTGACAGCCCTCACAGTTGGGTCTCCAGCACAGACCTCCAGACTCACTTATCCAGCAGCAAGTCAGGATTGCCCGTCAGCATTTCAATTTGGCCATAATCAACCTTTTGCTTTTATCTCTTAAATCTGCATCCCTCATTTCCCGCAGCTCAGTACATGGTAATCCTGTTCTTCCCTTGTCTTATACCAACACCAATGCAGTCCTCCTCTTTTTCTATCAGAACACACACCCATCTCATCAGCAGAGCCTATAGGTGCTACCTTTAAAATTTGTTCAGCACATGACCACTGGTGTTTGCTTGCCTGATCCCCACTCTGGTCCCAGCTACTGTTGTTTCTTGTCTCAGTTATTGCCTTGATCAGATCATGTCCTTCCTCCTATTTCCCTGGGTGTGAGCCCTTGGCTTCTCTTGCCTGTCTCTGGCCTCCCCTGTCATCATCCTGTCCTCACAGTTCTGCGGGCATCCGTATTGCTCTTCTGTGAGCACCTTGGGCACGTATCACCCCATGGCTTTTGCACTTGCTTATTCCTCTATGTGGAGCAATCTTCCTGCACTCTGTGCCAGCCAGTCCATCCCCTGGCAGGTCCCTGCTCAGACCCCCTCGATCAGAGCCCTTGCTGACCTCCCTATATGAAGTGGACTTTCCCTCTGTCACTCTCTGTCTCCCTAAGCCAGCTTCCTTTTCCTTCTTAGCACTTATCACCTCTTGCATTTGTGTCAGTCTTTTATTGTCAGGTCACTCACTGTGGAAACTTTCACTGCTGAATTCACAAGGAGTTGGCACTCAAAACATTCCTGTTAAAATGACTCAGTGCATAAATGCTATGAAAAGCTACAGCATTAAAACAGATAACGTGCCCTGATGGTGTATTTGATAGGTTCAAAGTTACAATTTAGTTCCTATGAAATATATCCATTGCTGTTGATCAAATACTTGTTTATTTCTGAAGAACTAATGTGCAAAGTTTAGGATAACAGAGGGAGAACATGTTTTAAGTCTTTTTTTTTCCCCACCTTCTTTCCTTTGTCCATATAGGATTTACAGCTGTTGGAGGATGGTGATCTGACTGTGATAGGAGATCGGGGAACCACACTGAGTGGAGGGCAGAAAGCGCGGGTAAACCTTGCAAGGTAAGTTGCATTTCAGCAGCCACTATGCAGTTGTCTTTTGTGCTGCTTCTAATGGTGGTGAGCACATAGGACCCGCTTACTGTGTATTGCGTCCTGTGTGAAGCACTTTCTTGGATTATTCTACTGGCACTTGAACGAACATCCTAGTTGTTGAAACTTGTCGTGTTCTGGGTGAGAGTCTGATATCTCTTTATATTTTCTAGAGCAGTGTATCAAGATGCTGACATCTATCTCCTGGACGATCCTCTCAGTGCAGTAGATGCAGAAGTTAGCAGGCACTTGTTCGAACTGTGAGTTTGTTTGAGTCTTAAGTCATTTCTGCTTTCCCAGAGCCATTTCGAGTTGGCTCAGGAAAGCCGTTATGGCTTTCAGCTTGTCCTGCTCTGGTGTTCCCCCTCCCCCTCCGCACTGTCCCCTGCTTCCCTGAAGATCCATTTTAGAGAAATTTTGCAGAAATACAAGGTCAAGGTAGGAAAATATACAAATGATTTCAGTGTGTTGCAGTGAGTGGAGTGTACCATGTTTTCGGGAATTGAGAAACAGATGGCAAATTTTGCAAGTTTTCCCCAACTAGTAATTACAGTTGATAACCAAGAAACTGCTGATGGACCAGGCCCCGGAGATAGGAAAGATGGTGTGCCATTTTTCAACGGAAGGGTGGCACTTGTCAACCTGGGCCTTGTCTTTCAGCTCTTTTCCTCCATCATTTCTCTATGACAGGTTAGAAGTGAGGTCGTTGGGACCAACATAGGGCTTTCTTGGGAAGGCTTTGTTGCTCTTTACATATTAATCTGTCAGTTTGGAGATAACCTACTAGTAAACTCTAGAATTTAAGAATGATTTGCTCCATAGTAGACTGTGGTTTCAAGAGTTGAATGTTGTTTCATGGATTCTTACCAGAATGAACACTGAAGACCCATGTAGGCCTGGCTTGCCTTTGAAACTAGTTGTCTCGAGTCTGGCTTCCCTCCTGACTCTTACGTGGTGTTTCTGGGATTTGCTTTCTTTGGCTCTTGCTTAGACACGGAGCCATAGAGGTAGAATGACTCTGGAATCTTTTCTGTATATTCTGTAACCTCATGTGTGCCAACTGACACTTCCTATGTAGTCTAGACTGGCCTTTTTGAAAGCATTGTGAACTGGTTTTTCTGAAACAGCACCCACATCTGCCCCACAGTCAGCTTCCTGTTTTTCGCCTTGTTAAGGCCAATGAGCCTGTCCCACTCATTGTAGCCCTTCTGTGCACACTGAGGTAGATGCTCCTGCAGGTGTTACTGCATGAAACATCTTTGCTTGCAGAGGACGGCAGTCAGCCACAGAGAAGATAAGCACCCATGCTGGGCTGAGTGAGAGAGAGAGGCAAGTTCAGATTTCATTCTTGCCCATAAGGAATTTGTCTCTGCAGAGATTCAAGACTAAGTGCATAGGAAAAGTTCAACAGACCCCAAGGCTTAAGGAATTTCAATATAGGACAATCTATTTTGTTAGTATTGTTTTTTAAAATAGGGTCTCGCTTTGTTGCCCAGGCTGGAGAGCAGGTGCAATCTCGGCTCGCTGCAGCCTCGACCTCCTGGGTTCAAGAGATTCTCTTGCCTCAGCCTCCCAGGTAACTGTGACTACAGGCTAGCACCACCATGCCCAGCTTATTCTGTGTTTTTTTGAAGGGAGGGGCTTTGCCATGTTGTCCAGGCTGGTCTCCCTATGTTGCCCAGGCTGGTCTCAAACTCCTGGGCGCAAGGGAACCGTCCGGCTCGGCTTCCCGGAGTGCTGGGATTACAGGCGTGGGCCCCTGCGCCCGGCATAGGACAATCAATTTTTTTAAATGGAAGAAGTGGGTAGCTGAGATTGGAAAGGTCACTGAGGGCCGGGCTTGGCTGGAAGTAGCCTGTGGTCCTGCAGGCTGGTAAGGGTTTATAGTGGCTGAGAGTAGGATTCAGTTCCTTTGAAAGAAATAGTAGAAGCAGAGGTGTGCAGACAGGAAGGAGTGAGGCCTGTGGGAAGGACAGCAGGCAGGCACCTGTTCCTGTGGTGGGGGATAGAGAAGGTACTGTGAAAGAAAGCTCTGGAAGTCCTGTGTTGGCCAGCCAGGGCTGCCCTCACAATGCCACAGGCTGGGGGGCTTACACAGTGGCCGGTTGTTTCCGCACAGTTCCGGAGACTGCATGTGCGAGATCAATGCGTCTGCAGGCACGGCTCCTCCCGAGGGCTTTCTTGGCCTGCCGATGGTCGCCTTCTCACCTTTTCCTCCTCATGTCTCTGCATCCAAACCTCCTCTTCCTGAAGAGACACCAGTCAGAGTAGGACCCACCCTCATGGCCTCATTTCAGTGTAATTACCTCTCTAAAGGTTCTGTGTTGGCCAGGCACTGTGGCTTACGCCTGTAATCCCAGCACTTTGGGAGGCTGAGGCAGGCACATCACCTGAGGAGTTCGAGACCAGCCTGGCCAACGTGGTGAAACCCCATCTCTACTAAAATTACAAAAATCAGTGATGGGTGGTGGTGGGCGCCTGTAATCCCAGCTACTCCGGAGGCTGAGGCAGGAGAGTTGCTTGAACCCAGGAGGTAGAGGTTGCAGTGAGCCAGGATAGTGCCATTGTACTCTAGCCTGGGCAACAAGAGTGAGATTCTGTAATAATAATAATAATAATAATAATAGTTCTCTGTTCCAATTCTAAGGTGCTGGGTGAGGGCTGGAACATAGGAACTTTGAGGGGAGCATGGTTCAGTCCATAATAGGTCCTGGATAGCAAAGTGGAGACAGAGTCGGCTGTGTGAGAGTAACTCATCTCTGGGCTCTGGATTCCAGGGGTTGGGACATGAAGTCATCCACTGAGCATGGGGCTCTACGTGGGCTCCTGAATGTTTCCCCACCAGAGTGCGTGTGCACAATGTGCCTGGTATGGGATGTTGAAGTGGATGTGGATGGTGGTGATGGTTGCACAACGGTGTGTACGTACTTAGCACTACCAAGCTATACACTTAAAAATGGTATAAATGGTAAATGTTATGTCATGTCTATTTTTCCACAACCAAAGAAACGTGGGTGGCAGCATTGAATCTTTCTGAACGCAGAGTGAGGGATAAGCTGGCACTCGGCGTTGCCCCGGCACACTGATCAGAGTCTTGTTTCCTGCTCCCTCCTCCTTGTGCCTTGATGAATTTTCCATTTGGCCGAGAAGGGCCTCTGTGGCTTGCTCGAGTCTTGCACGAGTCCCCACCAGGTCTTTATCACTCGAACAACAGTTCCCGGTGGGTCGCTCTTTTAGAGTCGCCGCAGGGAAGGAGGAAGGTATTTTCATTGCTGAGTATCAGTGTGCGTATCGCACAAGCTCCCCCAAATTTTCCTTGAACGCAGGAGGTATTTATAAAGTCCTCTTGCACCTTTAAGGATTAATGACTTTGGATATACACTTGTTAGAAGCAAGCTTGTTAAAATTGTTGTTTGCTAATCAGAATCACATTCTTTGGGGAAACTTAGGACAGGGAGCACGAATGCAATTTAGGAAATCACTCAGCAGCAACTGGAGAATGTTCTCAACGAGTTAGAAAATTGGATTGAACAATATGCTATGAAAGATGGCAGTTGTGTTGAAGCTTAGAAATGTGAAGTGTTTTGTATTAAAAGTGAATGAATTACACTTCTATTTGCCATGAACAGTTTTACTTTGATCATGAATATATATCGAGAGTTGTTAAGAGTTGTGTTTTACAACTATATGTTGCAAACACGAAGTGGATTTTTATCAAATACAAAAAGTGAGGGGCACTTCCATTAACGGATGCTGATCCGATTTGTTGCCAGCTATAGATGTGGTTGTATTCTAGAAAGCCTCAAATTCTCAGACCCCTGCCCCTTTGAGTCTCCTAATCAGAGCTCCCACACTGTTGCCTACCTATTTGTCTTAGTCCATTCAGGCTGCTGATTCAACATAGCATAAACTCGGTACTCCATATAAACAATAGAAAACTGTTTCTACAGTTCTGGAGGCCAAGATCCAAGATCAAGGCGCCAGCAGTTTTGGTGCCTGGAGAGGGCTCACGCTCTGGTTCGTAGACAGCTGTCTTCTCACTGTGGAAGGGGTACAGCAGCTTCCCTGGGCTGGCCCCTTTTACTAATACCATTCGTGTTGGCAGATTCTCATGAAATAGGCCTCACCTCCTAATACCATTACATTGGTTAGGATTAGGGTTCAGTAGGAATTTGGAGAGGGCTACAAACATTCAGGCACAGCACTAGTTCACCTTCCCTCTTTCAGTTCCTTCCGAACTCCTGTACTTTTAAGCTACGGTTCTAAGTCCTCGAATGGCAAATTGCCCTTTGCAGTCCGCCCCATTCACCTTTCCACCCCTTGCCCACGCAAGACCAGTCCTCCAGCCATGCATACTTCTGTGGGGTGTCTGGAAGGAGGTGTGATTTTCTCACATCTGCCTGTCTGTAAGGGTATTGTTCTTGCCATCGGAGAACCAGGGATAGTATGCCTGGGCAAAAGAGAAAAATGAAAGACACAGATCCTACCTCCTGCCTTTCTCTTCTGCTCCTCGGGGGCCATAGCACTTTCTCTGTCTGCCCACAGCCCTCAATGAGCTGCTCTTGATCCACCTATGTGTCCTTCCCCCCAGCCCCTGCACTGGACTGTGAATGCATGAAGGTGCCTTTGCACAGCGCGTTTGTGCCCCGGGACCATTGCCCCTGCTGTGTCTGCCAGGATTGCTTACCCCAGATAGTCTCACGGCTCGTACACCACCTCCTTGCAGAGAGGCCTTTCCTGGCCACTCCCTCTAAAGTACAACCTTTGCCTGGCTGTCTCTTCATGGTTTACATTACTACCCAATAGTGTATTTTCTGTGTTTGTGTAGTGAGTGTCCCTACATGATGCAGGGTGTTGTCTGTTTGCTTGACCAGTGGATGTATCCTCATCACTTAGAGTAGTCCCTGGTACTTCGTCAGTGCTCAGCAAATGTGTCTTAACTGAATGAATGAAGGTAGTGACTTTATCCCTCCCTCCCTTCCTTCCTTCCTTCCTTCCCAGAGTTTTGCCCTGTCACCCAGGCTGCAGTGCAATGGCATGATCATGGCCCATTGCAACTTCTACCTCCTGGGCTCAAGTGATCCTCCCGAGTAGCTGGGACTGCAAGTGCACACCCCCACACCTGGCTAAGTTTCGAGTTTTTTGTAGAGATGGAATCTCTCTATGTTGCCCAGACTGGCCTTGAATTTCTGGGCTCAAAAGATCCTCCTGCCTTGGCCTCCCAAAGTGCTGGGTTTATAGGTGTGAGCCACTGCACCCAACCGACTGTATCTGTCTCACTTGTGTCACTTCTGACATTGTATGTGTCAGCTCTTAATGTTGTCTTTTTTTTTTTTTCCTTTTTGAGACAGAGTCTTGCTGTGTTGCCCAGGCTGGAGTGCAGTGGCACGATCTTGGATCAGTGCAGACCTCCTGGGTTCAAGTGATTCTTGTGCCTCAGCTACTCGAGTAGCTGGGATTACAGGCATGCGTGACCACATCCACCTAATTTTTGTATTTTTAGTAGAGATTGGATCTCACCATGTTGGCCAGGCTGATCTCGAACTCCTGACCTCAAGTGATCTGTCTGCCTCAGCATCCCAAAGTGCTGGAATTATAGGCGTGAGCCCTGGTGCCTGGCCTCTTACCGTAGTCTTTATATAGTGTTAAATAGCTCGTTGCTAAATCAATCACTTATTATTTGTTTGTTTTATGGCATGACTGGAAGATTTTTACTCTTAAAAATTTGGAAAGTATTTTTTGAGATTTGCCTAAGAAGCATAATTTAGAAAAAATTTCAAGCCATCAATTACATTGTTAGTGTAATTATTTCTATATCTCATCTACAATGGAAGATGCTAGGAAGAAAACATTTTGAAACCTTTGAGGTGGCTGATACTGGACATAGCACCCCATCAGATTTGATCATTAACATCTCCCTTTAGATATGTATATAAAGGGATTAATGGCAGCCAATTTTGAAATAAAGGGAAACAATTTCATTAAAAGCTTTAGTACTAAGCCTGAAGAGGGGTATAATAGGTTGCGAAACTTAGTTTTGAAATAAGCCAAACTAAGATACCTGAAAGGGGAAAAATTAATCCTTTTGGATGTAAAGGATGAAGTGATAGTTTACATATCTGCAGTCTGGAGTTGCGGTTCTGATCGCAGGCGCTGTCTCTATGATACTCACTTATGACTTCTCAATCCTGAATTTCTAAAAGCAATGGCTGCATATGGGGAAGACTGGACGACAGGGCTAACACTTACTGGGCATGAGTTATGTTCTTGGCCATTGTTACAGATTAGTGCTTTTCTTTTTTTTTTTTTTCCTCTCCTTTTTTTCTTTTTGAGACAGGGTCTTACTCTGCCAACCAGGCTGGAGTGCAGTGGTGTGATCACAGCTCACTGCAGCATCAACCTCCTGGGCTCAAGTGATACTCCCACCTTAGCCTCCCTTGTAGCTGGGACTACAGGTGTGTGCCACCACACCCGGCTAATTTTTTTTGTAGCTCCCAGGAGTCTGCATTTACAATGTAGGAGAACTTTGAGCAGGTACTGTAGAAAACAAACAAACCCCAGAAAACTTGATGGTTGAATACTGAGGTGGGTCTTATCTTTGAGCCATATGGTTTGGACTGTTTGGATTCTGTTCTTCCATTTTCTTATTCAGACTGTTTAGGACTAATGAGAGAAGTTTTGCTTCCTGGATGAGACCAAGAATACTGTGGAGAGTCACACATCACTAGCATTTGTTTTCCTACCTAGTATTATTTGGGAAGAAGAGTCTGGCAAATGCACTCTGGCAAAAGTTACCAAGAATCTAAGCTTTTTTTGGGGGGTTGGGGGGCATCAATATGTGCATTATAAATTATCATCTAAGAAACCGTCCAAGGAAAATGCCGTGTCATTACATGACCTTGATCTTTCTTTCTCCCCTGCAATCCTACACAGTAGTAAAATAATTAATGTTTTAGTTAAGTCAGGTTTTTGAATCTCTATATTGTTCAGTCATTTTTCATCCTGGAATATATTGTTAAACTAAGTTTTAGAAAAAAAATATACTTATTGCCTCCTTCCCAGACAAGTATTTAGGATTTCTTCATAGCAAGGCTCATATTTGCTGCTAGCGGTTTTGAGGACCTAGCCGGCTTTATTGGCTTCTATTTCTGTTTAGTTTGTATTTAACCTCTAGATCTTTGACTACTGTGTTGTCTTTGACTATGGATTCAAAATGTATGTTTTTCAATGTGGAGCACCCCATTCGTGTGTGTTTTCACCCTGTGCCTTTTACATTTATAGGTGTATTTGTCAAACTTTGCATGAGAAGATCACAATTTTAGTGACTCATCAGTTGCAGTACCTCAAAGCTGCAAGTCAGATTCTGATATTGAAAGATGTAAGTAGTTTCTAGAGATCTCCTGAACTTGCAAGTACTCAGGTGTGTGGAATCCCCTTCTTCTTCCTGCATTTCATGTCCCTTTCTTCTCAGAGCTGGGATTCATGTTTTTGAGTATTAACTCAAAAGACTTGTAGAAATGTCATTATTACATGCTAAGCCATATTACCGTAAAGTATGTAAATTGCTACCTCAAGATTACTACATTGTTAAAGAAAATGATGCTAGTTTAATTTAGAACTTTTTGTTTACCTCTTCCATGACTTAATTCAAATTATGTTATTTGGAAATTACAGATACTCAGACCTGTTTGTATCCATTTAATTGTCATGCATAGTTTGCCTAAAGCTCCCCTTCTATTAATAGCAGAAATGGCTGGGCACAGTGATTCACACCTGTAATCCCAGCACTTTGGGAGGCCGAGGAAGGCAGATCACCTGAGGTCAGGAGTTCAAGACCAGCCAACATGGTGAAACCCCGTCTCTACTAAAAATACAAAAAATTAGCCCGGCATGATGGGGTACACCTGTAGTCCCAGCTACTCGGGAGGCTGAGGCAGGAGAATCTCTTGAACCCGGGAGGTGGAGGTTGTAGTGAGCTGACATCATGCCATTGTACTCCAGCCTGGGCGACAGAGTGAGACTCTGTCTCAAAAAAATAAAAATAAAATAATAATAATAGCAGCCACACAGGTGGATAACTGAGCAGTGGAGTGACATGGTTTGATCTGTGATTTTAAGAGATCCCCTTTGTTGTTTGCTAGGGGAGCTACAGCAGAAGTAATTTGAAGTCTTAGTAGCTCACAAGACAGAAATAAGGGCTTGGTCTAGTGTGTCAGTTTCCTAGAGCTGCCAGAACAAAGTGCCACACATTTGGCAGCTTAAAACAACGGAAATGTTTTGTCTCACTGTTCTGAGGCTGCAAGTCCAAAATCAAGGTGTCCGCAGGGCCATGCTCTCTCTGAAGGCTTCAGGGGAGAATCCTTCCTTGCCTCTCCCACTTTCTGGGGTTTTGCTGGCACTCACAGTTGATCCTTGGCTGGCAGTGCAGCCCTTTAGTCTCTGCCTCTGTTGTCACATGGCATTGTTGCAGTGTCTGTCTGGCTTTCTTCCTGTAAGGACATCAGTCATTGGACCTAGGGCCCACTCTAGTCCAGTATGACCTTATCTTGTCTTGATTGCATCTGCAAAGATCCTGTTTCACAAAATAAAGGCCACATTCATGGGTAACAGGGTTTAGGACTTGAACGTATCTTTTTAGAGGGTCACCATTCAACCAAGAAGAGCTAGCGTGGCCGGGGACATGGAGGTTAGTGAGAACTTCTCAGCCCGGTGGTGGTTTCATGCATCACTGCTTGGCTCGTTGCCTCTCGCCTCAGTAACCTGGTCCTTAACCCTTGCTCTGTTCCAGGCCCTGGTCAAATTCCTCATTGTAGGTCTGAAACCCCCTTAGTGTCTTCAAATGTGTTAATGTTTCTCCTCCCGCAATTTCTTAATAAAATGATGGAAGTAACAAAAATGAGTGTTAATTATATTTTATAAGATCTGTGTGCACCATTCTCCAAGGGAGATAAATTTCACATTATTGCAACAAATGGGGTATATAATGATAGCAGAGCTCTTAGATGAATTTCACATTATTGTGTCTTGATTGGCATCTGCAAACATCCTGTTTCACAAAAATAAAGGCCACATTCACGGTAACAGGGTTTAGGACTTGAACGTATCTTTTTAGAGGGTCACCATTCAACCAAGAAGAGCTAGCGTGGCCGGGGACATGGAGGTTAGTGAGAACTTCTCAGCCCGGTGGTGGTTTCATGCATCACTGCTTGGCTCGTTGCCTCTCGCCTCAGTAACCTGGTCCTTAACCCTTGCTCTGTTCCAGGCCCTGGTCAAATTCTCCTCATTGTAGGTCTGCACCCCCTTAGTGTCTTCAAATGTGTTAATGTTTCTCCTCCCGCAATTTCTAATAACAAAATGATGGAAGTAACAAAAATGAGTGTTAATTATATTTTATAAGATCTGTGTGCACCATTCTCCAAGGGAGATAAATTTCACATTATTGCAACAAATGGGGTGATATAATGATAGTGCAGATTTTAGATGAATTTCACATTATTGCAACAAACGGGGTATATAATGATAGCAGAGCTCTTAGATGAATTTCACATTATTGCAACAAACGGGGTATATAATGATAGCAAAGCTCTTGCAAGTCTTTGTGTGTAAGTCCCTCCTTGCTGCTTAAACAGTGAGGAATCTGTCCACCGAAGTCCCGGCAAGTGAATTCTCACCCTTAAGAGGATTATCGAAGGAAGAACTGCTGCCTCTTCAGAAGCAGTTCCGTGTGCTGGCTCTTCCCCTGGGGAGCCTGGGTTCCTCGAAGTTGAAAACAATTAATTTCTTATGCAGAGGGCCGAGACTAGTGTGGCAAAACCTGAATGCTGGTACATTAAAATAAAATCTGTGGGTGGCAGAATAACCTTTCTCCAAAACAACCATCTGGCCAGGTGCGGTGGCTTATGCCTGTAATCCCAGCAATTTGGGAGGTCGAGATGTTGGGGGGAATCACTTGAGGTCAGGAGTTTGAGACCAACCTGGCCAACGTGGTGAAAACCCGTCTCTACCAAAAATACAAAAAAATTAGCTGGGCGCGGTGGCGCATGCCTGTGATCCCAGCTACTCAGGAGCCTGAGGCAGTAGAATCACTTAAACCTGGGAGGCAAAGGTTGCAGTGAGCTGAGATCGTGCCATTGCTCTCCAGCCTGGGCAACAGGGTGAGATCCTACCACACACACACACACAAACCATTTTTCCACTGGTAGGCACCCAGGATGAATATGTGTCCGTTCTTGCTGTCATCCCAGCCCCCTCCCTAACAGCAGACAGAGCACGGTTGCCCCTCGGAACCCACTCTGCATTGCTTGTGAGTACTTGGCTTCTGAGGAAAATTGCCATCCTAGTACCAGCAGGAGTTTTCTTGTGCGTCTTACAGATACTATGTGAAAAGTGGTCATTTCATCAAACTAGGTGTGTCACTTTTACCTCCTATGTGGAAGAAGACTCAATGTATGATGAAGCATTTTCGAATTCTCCAGTTATCAAACTGGTCCAGAGGGCCCAAGGGGTCATTGGATTTTCCTCAGTGGACCCACCTTTTTGGGGGTGGGGAGGATTGGGGTAGCAGGGAGGGTTCTGGCCACCTTCCCCCACCTGACTTGCCTTAGCCAGGAGCTCCTCTCCTCTGATTTGTATTCTGGGAGTTTGCCTAATATTATGTTTGCTGCTGTTTGAGGAAATCAGTTGGGTCTCATTTCATGAGGTATCTCATTTCATGGGGTACACAAATAGTGAAGATATTTGTACATTATTTTGTATGACTTTGTAAGGAGAGAAAACTGTGCAAGGAGGTGTCCCATGGAATGTTGAATTTTCAGTTAGGAATTCCCTGAGTCTTTGGGGCATTTATGTATGTATGTATGTATGTGATGCAGTTTTGCTCTTGTCGTCCAGGCTGGAGTGCAGTGGCTCGATCTCTGCTCACTGCAACCTCCGCCTTCTGGGTTCAAGTGATTCTCCTGCCTCAGCCTCCCAAGTAGCTAGGATTACAGGTGCCTGGCTAATTTTTTTGTATTTTTAGTAGAGGTGGGGTTTCATCACATTGGCCATGCTGGTCTCAAACTCCTGACCTCAGGTGATCCACCCGCCTTGGTCTTCCAAAGTGCTGGGATTTCAGGTGTGAGCCACCACACCTGGCCTGTGGGGCAGTTTTAGAGTAAAGACCATGAAGGTGCAGCTCATGGGGTCTGTGTCCAAGTCTGGTTCTCACACCTTTTTCCAGCAGGGCCCATGGCCAGCGGAGGCTTGTGGAGTGCTTCCTACCTGTGCAGATATGCCTGGTCCTACCTCCCTATCAGTGTTAGGTTTCTCTCCTGGAATATCCTTCTCAATTTACTCATTCCTTCCATTCTTATTGCATAAAGCTTATCTCAGTTTTTCATGTGTAATAAGACTACTGATATGGTCACCAACATCTATGTGATAATGATCGCCATTTGCAACACACTATTACCATTTAAAAAATATTCTTCAGTACCTAACACGGGCTCTGGCTGAGAACAGAGCACCTGGTTGTGTATCAGGTTGAATTGTATTAGATTTGTCAACTAGGATTCCGGACCTAAGTATAATCATAATTTAAGATCAGTTACCTTTTCTGGATTAGAATTAGATTAGGTTAACATTATCACCTGCAAATGTATCTCTCTGAAATTCTTTATTTTTATTTTAGGGTAAAATGGTGCAGAAGGGGACTTACACTGAGTTCCTAAAATCTGGTATAGATTTTGGTTCCCTTTTGAAGAAGGACAACGAGGAAAGCGAACAACTTCCAGTTCCAGGAACTCCCACGCTGAGGAATCGCACCTTCTCAGAGTCTTCCGTTTGGTCTCAGCAATCTTCTAGACCCTCCTTGAAAGATGGTGCTGTGGAGACCCAAGATGTGAGTTTACCTCCTGTTACAACATGGCCTGGTTTTGTTGACTGCTAATGGCCTTATGGATCTTTGGTCTCCTCTGTTCGAAGCATCATCTTTTGTCCCAAAGTAGATTCTGTGGTTTCAAGGCCCTATTCCATGATATTGGTAGATTAAAACAGAACCAAGGCAAACAACTCTGGTTGGAGTAATCCTTTGCTTGTAGGCTGGGGAATGTCATGGAGATGAGTAGCAGGTGTGTGTACTGGTGCAAGTCCCAAGCTGTGTGTGACTCACACTAATATTACAATTCTTGAATTTACTGTAGTGAAATCCTACTTAGTCTGGTGGCCCCCGACTTCTCTTTGCATCCAGAGGCATAATTTGAAGACCGCCTTAGAGAAAGTCCTGCTGTGGGCCACATGAAGTTAGCCACTTTTCCTGTATGTTGGAATGTTCTGATGCTGCACGTGGCTGATGGAGGTATTTTGCCCTGTTGTCAGATGGTTTATGCTAGGCTAGAAGTAGCACGTGCAAAGACCCAACAGTTCCTGACACACAGCAGCCCATCTTCCTTCTTTACCTTTCAAGGGTAGGAGCTGCATCTTACTCATCTTGGTATTCCCAGTGGCCAACATAAAGCTGCTCAGTACATCCTCAGAGTATGTGAATCTCATGCCTTCTAAGTCCTCCAGGCAGAAATGTACCAGAGCTCACTTAAAAACATAGATATTCCTTGCCACACAAACCCTCACTATCCAAATCCAGGAGCCTGAAGGATTCTTGCAGATATTCAGATTAGGCCCTCACATGCCAAATTCTCAGGAGTCAATTTCTGAAACTCAGGAACCAAACAGATTAGGATCATATGCTATCCCTTGCTTTCCAAACTCAGACTCACTGCTTGAACCCAGTTACTGTATTGAGCTCATGTTTTGACCTTCTGCTCTTTTATGCTTCCATATCGAGTGATGCAGTTGAGAGTTCCATATCTTTCTGTACATGATTTTTGAACAAGTTTCTGTATGTATACTTGAATTTGGATGTGCTAGGTAAGTGCTGGACATTCTGATGTCATCCTGCCAGCAAGCCACACCACAATGTACAAATGATATTTCCTTACCTCTAGTAGAACCCTGAAAGTGGGATGGCTGAGTGCAGGGATTAGTGCATGTAGCTGGGTGTGGTGGCTCATGCCTGTCATCCCAGCACTTTGGGAGGCTGAGGCAAGAGGATCACCTGAGGTCAGGAGTTCCAGACCAGCCTGGCCAACATGGTGAAAACCTGTCTCCACTAAAAAATACAAAAATTAGCCAGGCGTGGTAGCAGCATCTGTAATCCCAGCTACTCAGGAGGCTGAGGCAGGGGAATCGCTTGAACCTAGCTAGCTAGGAGGCAGAGGTTGCAGTGAGCCAAGATCGCTCCACTACACTCCAGCCTGGGCAACAGTAGCGAAACTTCGTCTCAAAAAATATTAAATAAATAAAAAGTAAGTACATGTATAGTTTGGCTGGATATTTCTACACCCTTCTCCACAGGAGATGGATCATTTTGGACTTCTGCCTGTTTCCCCACAGCTTTGTCAACAGAGTGCATTGTCATCTCTGGGAACAGTTTTGTATACGATTTTGTCTCTTACCACCCTTTCCTTTGCAGACGGAGAATGTCCCAGTTACACTCTCAGATGAGAACCGTTCTGAAGGAAAAGTTGGTTTTCAGGCCTACAAGAATTACTTCAGAGCTGGTGCTCACTGGATTGTCATCATTTTCCTTATTCTCCTAAACACTGCAGCTCAGGTAAGTAATGACATTTGTTTAGTGCCCTCAAAATGATATTTACAGTACCTATGTTTATGCTATTTTGACTGCATCTTGCAGTTCACTTGGGATCTGAATTGAAATATGCTGTCTTTGGGAAACAAAGTGAGGGCTGCCTAGTGGTGTCTCATTACAAAGACCTTCTGCGAAAAAAAAAAAGGGTATCTTTCAATGATTTTAAAATGGAACATGCGTTTTCTTGAGTTCTTGATATCTGGGAGTTTGGGCTCAGCGTAGACCTGAGCTGGAAGAACTATGCAAGTTCTCTGAGCTTTTTATTCTTTCTATTTTTTTCTTTTTCTTTCTTTTTTTTTTTTTTTTTTTTTTTTTTTTTTTTGAGACGGAGTTTTGCACTGTCGCCCAGGTTGGAGTGCAGTAGCACAATCTTGGCTCACTGCAACCTCCGCCTCCCGGGTTTAAGCAGTTCTCCTATCTCAGCCTCCGGAGTAGATGGGACTACAGGCACATGTGCCACCATGCCCGGCTAGGCTCATTTTTGTATTTTTAGTAGACCTAGGGTTTCATTATGTTGGCCAGGCTGGTCTCGAACTCCTGGCCTTAAGTTGATCCGCCTGCCTCAGCCTCCCAAAGTGCTGGGGTTGCAAGCATGAGCCACCACGCACGGCTTCGAGGGCTTTCTTTCGATTGTCCACATTAGCGATTGAGAGTTTTGAGTTGGTAAGTCATGCCCAAGTTTGATTTTTGTCTTTGTTGTTTCTCACCTCCTAGGTTGCCTATGTTCTTCAAGATTGGTGGCTTTCGTACTGGTAAGTTATTTCTGACGTATGAAATACTCAAACATCAATAAGAAGACTCGCTTTTCCGTAGAGTTAGGGGGAGATATTTGTTGATCCTTCTCTTCTAATCCTCACTTAGTTTACCCGAAGAAAAGTTAGAGTGCTTGCTGGTGGAGTGTAACCTGTGGTGGTCTCCACCCATGTCTGGTCCGCGGCATCATGTTCAGACAGTTTCGGGAACTGAAAGTCGTGATTTAAATTGAATTTTTATGAGGTAGATACACACAGGACTATATGAGCTGAGAATCATTTTCCAGCATAAAGCATTTCTCTCAAATTGTGGTTCATTTTTTAAAAAAAGGTATTTCTCTAAATTCCATATATAGCTTAACATTTTTTTCTCCCCATGTTCCATAGGGCAAACCAACAAAGTACGCTAAATGTCACTGTAAATGGAGGAGGAAATGTAACCAAGAAGCTAGATCTTAACTGGTACTTAGGAATTTATTCAGGTAAAGTTGAATCATTTGGTCTATTATATGAGAGGCTGAGGTGCTTACAATGAGCCTGTGTGAGTAACTAGGGCTTCCAGGAGTAATTCAGTAATGTCTTAACAGATTAGGAGTCTCAGTCGAATTTACTCTGTGAATTAATTAGAATAATTATTTTAAAAATCTACTAGAAGAAAGAGGTTGAATGAAGACTCTTAATTTGCTCTGTACTGGATTTTGAAAGTTAAACCAGGATTGAGCATTCAGAAAATCAGCCACTGGAAATATGTGGCTATTGTCTATTCTAATAGGTTGCTTTAGCTAAATCTTATATCATTATACGGATGGGCAGGGGGATTAGAAACGGATCCCCACCCTGTGGTTTGGATTGTTCCAATTCTGTCTAAATAAACCCTGGCTTTTATTGAACTTGGATGAAATCCTCTGGCAGCAAGGCCCCCAAAATAAAAGCATTATTCCCTCCCAGGTATGCAAAGCTCCCTTCAGCACTGCTCATCTCCTGGGCTTCACTAATTACTTAAGAGGGAAGCTGAGCAGGGAAGAATCCAGTGTCTGGGAATTAGGATGCCTTCTATTTCTTACCTTGAGATCACAATGTTATCGCGTCCCCAACTGTGTGATTAATTTAACATTTGGCTTGCCAAACTAATATTAACGCTGCACTCTGTTTTCACAAGAGTGCTTAAAATGTATGTAGCATTACATACTGTTTAAAGGAAATCCTCATCTAAAATTTTAAATATTTCCACAGGAAATGCTCCTACAAGCTTTCCTCAGAGATAGAGTGAGTTATCTTTGGAAGAACCTACTTAGTGAAATTTGGTGTTTATTTCATCTATCGCTTGCTAAGAAATCTGAATCCGTTAGGTGTTTACCTTCCAAATTGACGGACTATGTGAAAACTAAGGGAAGAAGGAAATCGGTTCTATTATGTTTGTGTAGGATGACAGGCTAAGGATAATGCCTGTTGATGGAGTTAGGAATTTGAGCTGCTTTCAGAGGTTAAATAACAGTGACATGTCATCTGAAAGGGAAATATTTGTTATAGAAGTTACCCCACTGTATTGAGCATTGTGAGTTAAGAGATGTAGGAAAGCTCTTTTAATTTCTATGTGAATAATGGATCCTCATTCATGTCTTAATAAAATGTATGATTTATTTTATTCATTTAAAAATGTCTTGTGTCTATGTAAAACACTTAGTGGGGGATTAGTTGCTTATTTAGATTAATTATCTTATGTTAAAATATAATTTGTGTTTTCTTGCAATTCAATTATTCAAGAGGTTTTCCACATGCAACTTAATATGGTATTTTTAAATTCTTTAAAGCTACTTGGGCATTTTCTACAAGGAAAAGGTAAATCATTTCTCCTATTCCTTGTTAATATCACATGTTGGTATCAAAACATACCACCTTTTTTAGATTATGGGACATAATGTAAATAATAAGATTTGGAATATGGAGAAGATCAACTACATTTCATGATTATCTGTCTTACTTCTGAGTTTTTAATAGAACTTGCAATTGAATTAGGAGAGCCTAGAATGAAATTGTATTGTACACCTGATTTTTCTTTTCTGTGCAGTTTCCATTCAGTGAGAGAAAAATGAACTACTTTAATCCTTCTTTGTCAATGTATTTTGTAAATACATTATACTTTTGTAGAATCCAGATGCTTTATGGAATAAATTAAGTAACATCTTTATAAACTACCTGACTTGCTTTAGCAACTGTTGAAGAAAATGCAGAGTTATGCTGTGTTCTCTAAGTGATATTTCTTTATTTCAGGTTTAACTGTAGCTACCGTTCTTTTTGGCATAGCAAGATCTCTATTGGTATTCTACGTCCTTGTTAATTCTTCACAAACTTTGCACAACAAAATGTTTGAGTCAATTCTGAAAGCTCCAGTATTATTCTTTGATAGAAATCCAATAGGTAAGTCTGACACCAAGTTTCTCAGTAAGTATGTCTTGTTAACAACACATTTAGGATCTGATTACATTTCCGTCTTTGAAAATGGAAGGGATGCTTGGAAGAAAATCACTATGCATGTTGATTCATTTTCTACAAGAAGCTTCACTGCTATTTTTCTCCTACTAGAGAAAATCTGAATATTGGTGTGGGGGGCGGGGCATACAATCTTTTATTCCAATTTGTATGTGTGTGGAAAAATAAATGAATGTTGACTCTGCAGAATGCTCTGGGAATCCATTTGCTGTGAGGCAAGTGAAGCATCCTGCATTCCCTGTAAACATGTTTAAATGTAGTAGTTGCTAAAACATTGGCTGTGTTTACATAGTGTTAGGTTATGCCATTTTTCGGAGGGGTCTTTGTAATCAGGAATGCTCTGATGTGAGACGGGCTGTGTATTTCTTTCTTTCACTGGGAAACCCATTCATTTCTGGAACCACAGGGTTTTTGTACATACCCTGACTGTGAGGTTTCCCTGAAAGACAATACGTGGTTAGTTAAAAGCCAAGATTGGTAAAATGTAAACTCCCCTTCAAGAACAGTTTCTAACTCTGTGGTTTTAGAGTAGACTTTTGGTTCTATAATAGAGACTTTGTTGAACCTGCTATGTAGATCTTCAGTAGCTCGTTTCCTAGCTATACCCAAGTATACCCAGTAGTTTCCAAGTGGTTGATGCCTCTGCACTATGGGCTTCTTACCTGTCTTGCTTCTGAGGCTAGCCTTCCTAACCCGGGTTCCTAGGGAGAGTTAGTAGTGCCTATACGTCCCCACCCTGGTCAGTTGAGTGGACTTGTGGGGAGGCCTGAGTGACATTGTACAAATGACAGCTACCCTCATAGAAGCAGGGAGGAGGCCTGGAGAGAACACAGGCATAGCTTTGGCTTGGCCATTGACTAGCTTTGTGACCAAGACCAGATCACATAGGTGCTGTTACACAGGCAATCTCCAAGCAGATGCTGTAGTTCAAAGTGTGGACTCAAACTAACTGCCTGGGTTCAGTCCTGGTGCTGGTTACTAATTGTTATAGCTGGTTATAGTTACATTCATATTCATATCCTAGTTACTGAATTTTTCTGTGTCACAGTTTTCTTATCCGTAAAATGGGGATACTATTCATACCCACCAAATTGAAATCTTATGAGAATTTATGAGAATTAAGCATGTTAATACATTCCTAGTACGTGAAACTGGGTGTAGCTACATAGTCAGTGCCTAACGAATGTTAGTGGCAGTGAAGTCATGTATCTCTGAATTGAATCACCTTCACTGTGGGATGGAAATTACTCCTACCCTCTCTGTTTTACATGATTTTTGTGAAGATTAAGGAAGCCTATTCTGGAAAGCATCTCGTGTAGATTTATTTAACAAAACTTTTCAGTCCAAGCACGGTGCAATGTGCAAGGATTTGTAAACTGCAGAGACCACACAAATATCGGTCTGATTTCAGCTGTTATTAGAAAGTCATTGGAGGACCTCTGCACTCTTACAGCTGTAACGTCGTGCCACTTTGCCAGTTAATTTGAAACTACAGTCATAACGTTTGGAGCATTAAGTGGGACTGCATTTCTGTTATCACAGGCCTCGGAATGTTCATGACTACCATTAACCAGCCTCTCCATGTTCGAGACCTGTGGGCTTCTCCTCATGCTGATTTATTTATTATTCAGGGATTTGGAACCCAGTCTAAATCTTGGAGGTCACTAATCTTACGGCAGCACATGAGTGTTTATCTTGCTTCCTCCTCCTATATCTATTAGCATGACTTTATTCCCTCAACAAAATAGAAGCCCAAATAAGTACCCCGAAGAGAAGCCTACTTTGTCCAAAATGTTTAGAGGTCATGAATTATTTACTTTTTTTAGTGGTAGATGTTGAAAAAATTATATTTAAAGATTAAAAGTTTTTTAATGGTAGAATTAAAATTTTCATTTAGATGAAATTTTTGTACTTTTTACAATGGTGAAGTGTACACAAAATCTGTGAATTATGCCTCACAATTCACATTACTGATTGTATGTGCTTCGATGGTTATATATATGTATAGAATTTATTTAGAGATAAGGTCTCATTCTGTTGACTAGGCTGGAGTGCAGTGGTGTGATCACAGCTCACTGTAGCCTTGACCTCCTGGGCTCAAGCGATCCTCCTGCCTCAGCCTCCCAAGTAGTTGGGACCACAGGCCTCTGCCACCATGGCCAGCTAATTATTTAAATTTATTTTATTATATTTTGAAGAGATGGGATCTCACTGTGTTGCCCAGGCTGGTCTCGAACTCCTGTGCTCAAGGGATCTTCCTGCCTCAGCCTCCTCAAGTGCTGGAATTATAGGCATGAGCCACTGGACCCAGCCAGCTTTATAATATAAATAAAAATTCCCCTCTAGGATAGTGAGGCAGGCATGCTCCATTTTTCAGTACTCTTAAATATACATGTTAAATGTGTATAAGTGTCTGGCGTGATGTTGTGCCCCCTAAATTGCAGAGTGTTCTTTGAGTAGGGTAGAAAGACTGGGAAGCATGTCTGAATACTTAGTTATTAAAAGCAAGCTCTTAGAAGAGCCCTGGGGAAATTTCCTATGAGCTCAGCATCCTGATATTCTCCCAGATTTTAGAAAACTTAGGAAACGGGGAGGATCTCTGCTGGCATATAGTTTCCAGTAAGCTCACCCTGGGATGGCGAGTGGCACAGAAACTCCAGGTGACTCACACCGGGGGTCTGGCTAGATGTCCCTCGTATCCTCATCTCCAGTGCCCTTGGGCTGAAATATTCTCAGTGCCTGATCTGCAGCATGGAAATGTCTTCTCCATTATTTTATGGCCACTCCCACCCCAGATGTGCCGTCCCCCTCATCATGCTTCTGCCCAGATCCTCATCCGTGTGGTTAATGAATGGGCGGCCCTTGCTGCTGACTCAGAGAACCAGACCTTCTGGAAGGGTCCCCCTGACTGCCCCACTGTGGTCCCAAGTTCACTTATTTGGATTTAGGGAGAAGAGGAAGGTAAACCTGGAAGGTTTGTGTTTCTTCTTAGCAGTGAAGTTTCTGTTTCTTTTCTCTTTTTTTTTTTTTTTGAGACAGAGTCTCGCTCTGTTGCCCAGGCTGGAGTGCAGTGGCGCGATCTCAGCTCACTGCAAGCTCTGCCTCCCGGGTTCACGCCGTTCTCCTGCCTCAGCCTCCCGAGTAGCTGGGACTACAGGTGCCCGCCACCATGCCCGGCTAATTTTTGTACTTTTTTAGTAGAGATGGAGTTTCACCGTGTTAGCCAGGATGGTCTTGATCTCCTGACCTTGTGATCCAGCCGCCTCGGCCTCCCAAAGTGCCGGGATTACAGTCATGAGCCACCGCACCTGGCCTGAAGTTTCTGTTTCTAAGAAGGCCACGCTTCTCCAACATGCAAGACATTAAGTTCCTCTCCATTTCGAACCCATCTATGGTTGCATGAAATTCGTCTTTGTTTATATAATACAATACCTTTTTATCTACTGGTCTTTCATTAACCTGATAAATCTTAAGTTAGCAGGATAAAATGTGAGGCAAACCAATGTGCTGCCTTAGAATGACAAGAGACAGTTCTCTTTCTTTTCTCTTTTCTTTTCTTTCTCTTCTTTCTTTCTTTCTTTCTCTTTCTTTCTTTCTTTCTTTCTTTCTTTCTTTCTTTCTTTCTTTCTTTCTTTCTTTCTTTCTTTTTTCTTTCTCTCTCTCTTCTTTCCCTCCCTCCCTCCCTCCCTCCCTCCCTTCCTTCCTTCCTTCCTTCCTTCCTTCCTTCCTTCCTTCCTTCCTTCCTTCCTTCCTTCCTTCCTTCCTTCCTTCCTTTTCCTTCCTTTCTTTCATTTCCTTCCTTCCTTCCTTCCTTCCTTCCTTCCTTCCTTCCTTCCTTCCTTCCTTCCTTCCTTTTCCTTCCTTTCTTTCATTTCCTTCCTTCCTTCCTTTTCCTTCCTTTCTTCTTTTCTTTTCTTTTTTTGAGACAGAGTCTTGCTCTGTTGCCCAGTCTAGAGTGCAGTGGCATGATCTCGGCTCACTGCAATGTCCACCTCTTGGGTTCAAGCAATTCTCATGCCTCAATCTCCTGAGTAGTTGGTATTACAGATGTCTGCCACCACACCCAGCTAAATTTTTTTTTTTTTTTTTTTTTTTTTTTTTTGTATTTTTAGTAGAGACAGGGTTTTACCTCCTACTGGTACTAAGATAGCAATTTTTCCCAGAAGCCAAGTACTGACTAGCAATGCAGAGCTGGGTCTGAGGGGCAAACGTGCTCTGTCTGCTGTTGGGAGAGGGCTAGACCCACAGCAAGAACAGACACACATTCATCCAGGGTGCCCACCAGTGGACAAATGGTGGTTGTTTGTGTGTGTGTGTGTGTGTGTGTGTGTGTGTGTGTGTGTGGTAGAGTCTCACTCTGTTGCCCAGGCTGGAGTGCAGTGGCATGATCTCAACTCACAGCAACCTCTGGCTCCCAGTTTCAAGTGATTCTCCTGCCTCAGCCTCCCGAGTAGCTGGGATTACAGCATTCACCATCACACCTGGCTAATTTTTGTATTTTTAATAGAGATGGGGTTTCACCATGTTGACCAAGCTGATCTCAAACTCCTGACCTCAGGTGATCCACCCATCTTGGCCTCCTCCTAAAGTGCTGTTAGGCATGAGCCACTGCGCCCAGCCAAGAGCCAATTTTCCTTTCTCGTCTTTTTATCCTTCTCTCACCCATTGTTAGTTTTTATTCTTTCCTCCTTTGAGGTAGGTTGGTAATGGGATCGCATGTGTCTGTTAAGAAACCTCACATTTTCAGCTGCCCCTGGACACCTCCTGCATCTTTTGATTATGACCTGAGTTGAACAGAGCATTTGCAGACATTTTCTGATGCTGTTCGCTGCGTCTACCTCTTCCTAGTCAGTTTTTTTGTGTGTCTTAGCCCTGTTTCCGTTCTGTTCCAATCATAATAAATGGGTCATGCAAATCCTAAGTCAAGA